TACACAATCTAACAGTAAGTAGTGCTTGTTAAACATAATACCTTTGTTTAAGTTAACAAAATACGGTTTTATATAGTAAAATTATTATATTTAAAAAAAAATTACAAAACTTATAATACCCACAATTATTTCCATTTTGTTATATGTATCGTGAAGATCCCTCGGAATAGTTTTATTTATCACAATTGGAAAGTGTTTTTTAAAAGGTAATAATTTTTTAACGAACTTATGGTCGTTATATTTATTAAGATTAAAAAAACAATATATAGTCATGACTATTTATAATTGAGAAAAATAAATCATAATGTTTTGCTTCATGTACAATGTACATATTATTAATACGTACGCGTGTCGAAAGCCGTTGATTTATAATAGAGCACTTTACAATACCTTGATTTGCCTTGACCTGACCAGTGACTACAATTCTGTATTATCGTGTATCGGATCATTTATTTCGTTAAATGCGTAGGCAGACAAAATGAAATCTTTCGAAGGCATGATTTAAATGCTTGACTAGTTTGTTATGATATTCTAAACAATTCCATGTAATTATGTTTTCAGGCAATAAAATACGAATTAAGAAACCGGATCTATGCCATGCTTAAACTATACGATGTAAACAACAAAGCTTTTAACTAAAATTATACAAAATTTGCGTAAATGTTAAGTATGGTGTTTAGAAAGTTCAAAATAATATTACAATTAAAAATGTATGTTCCCTCATTCTGTAAATCTTGATCGAATTAACCTTCTTTAATCAGCGAACTGAGTGGGCGGTTCCGCATCTTCGCGGAAAAGTGTATTTGATTTACTATCTATTTTTACTTTCATTGTAGTGAGAATTCACTCATACATACGCCCTAAATATTCGATACCTTGCAAAACCCCTTTCAACTTTGGGCAGCTCCTAAATTTACTTACTCCACTGATAGACCCAAAGTGAGATTTGGTCTTCGAGACCAGAAAGCGCCACATTCGACTTGCGCTGCAGCCAATCGGCCATTCATATCCTATCCTTAATTTAATTGACGCCTAAATGCAGTAAATTCACTATTGAATAATCGTTTAATTAGGAATAGACACGTAATTCATGTAACGATCATGTAATTACCTGAAAATGGGATTGAATAATAAATAATTTGTTTCAAGCGTTAACATAAATTAAATGTTATAGAGCTATATTTTGCGTACCTATGTATTATATTACGAATATGGACTTTATAATAATAATCTTTATTCATTTTTTCTCACAAAAACTTAGTACATAAAAACAAGTGACAGTTATATGCTATTATATATAAATAATTGTCTTTCTTCTATTTAGGGAAAATGCTAGTTTGTGTGAGACTGATGCCTGCTAAAGGTAAGACTACCTGTGTTACAGGTGATCAGGCCTCCACCACTTCGGATAGACAGAAGGTCTTAAAAAGAAAAATGTTATGAGAATAAACAATCATTATTACATAGGCTGCAACGTTAACAAAAAAATATTTATAAGGATACACATATAAGGAAACAACATGGGGTATGTGTGGGTGCGTAAGTGTGTATGTGTATAGTAGGTGTGTGTCAGTGTGTATACGTGAGTGTGTGTCTATATAATGTACTATATAACATATATTTAAGTTTATATATAGCTAGGGAAAGGGTTTTTTCACACCGTTATCAGAATTGTGTATCTGTGGCCTATTAAAAAGTCAATGTAATTCATGAGTCATGACTTAAAATCTAGAGCTATTAAATGAGACCTTGCTTAGCACTCATGGCAGTTTCGTTAGCATGGTTATAATTTGACTTGGATTTAATCTAATCTTGAAATTCGTTTAATTTAGATTGCTTAAAATTATTAGTAAAGTTTTCGGAATGAGCTTTGGAATTCTTTATCTGTTAACATTTATGTTACAGTGCTTTTCATGAAAGAAGTCCCGCGGTGATTTTTGGAACTAAATTTGACAGGTCGGCAATGTTGTCATTCGTCGATGTTATGAAGTTCGTTTGTTGTGGTAGATTTTTGTGAATTTTTAACTAGCTTAGTGCATTTTAAAGATTGATTACAATGCCAAAAGTTGTAAAAGTTCGGCTCGAGAAATGATATTAAAGGTGAAACAGTTCTGTGAAGCGGAACATAAGAATCAAGGAGTTTTAATACCACTAAACAATGTTCGGAAGAGAGTTGCCGCCATAACAGGTACTTTTTAGAGTTGCCATTTAATAATTTTTTGCTGTATTGATGGGACTTTTATGATATAAATTCGTTTTTGCGACAAAATTGAATAAATACATAACGTGATGAAACTAGGTAACTGAAATTAAAACATATATTACATATTACATAAGCATTATAAACTTAAAGTTACTATTATTTTTAATTGTTCATAATTTAATTGCAGGTGTGTCAGAGAAAACTGTAACAAGAATTACAAACGAAGGTATAACAGCGGCATGTACTTCGAAAAAAATTGTAACCCAACAATTATGCAATAAAACTCTGAGTAAAAAATTGTATTGCTTTTCTTTACCCTATTTTCTCATCTTTTCCCTGTAAGTAGGTAGAACACCGCTAATATAAGTAAATAAAAATATACTTTTTACATAACAGAAATATTGTTTCATCGAAGTATGCAGAAAATAATATTATTTGATAAATTACATCTGCTAAATGTAAATAAAATAGGTAAATTTTTTACTCATAAATGGCAACATTACATTATGCGATTGCAGCGCCGCGTCTGGGGGACTTCTTTCATGAAAAGGACTATACAGCCGACTCCTACATATTTCCTTTTTTTTTGTATTTATTCATGTACTCGTAGGCACGCACTTAATCTCGTGGGTGGGTGGGTACTGGGTATAGTTTTATTTAATAAACCTAAGCTTTCCAGTTCATAAAGTTAACCACAGATTTAATGGTCCGTAAAATGCTCGATCAATATACCAAATATATAATGGTCAATTTATCGTAATTAGTGGAGGCGTAAAGGTTGCGGGTGAAGGTTCAACTCCCGTCACGAGCATTGTTTCCTGGTAATCGTAAGGTCTTTGAATGAATATTTAACTTTAGCAAAAATGTATGAATGTACAAACAATCTTTACAGCTCTAAACAGTTAAGGTATATCAAATACTAGTAAGTACTATCAAGTACTAGTATAAGAAGTACGCAATGAAAAATGTATGCACAATTCGCAACCGAAAACGAATTAAATATTTGCATTTGCAAATAGTTTTCCTATATTTTAAAAGGACATTATGGAACTAAAGCTCTATTACTCAATGTACATAGTTTTAATATTAATGAGTCAACAAGAAAGTAGAAATAGCTTTATAATGGACTAAATAAAACGTGGTTTGTATTGTAAGGTCGAGATACCGAACTGTGAGTCATGACAATTACCGGATCTAATATTTTGTTAAAACCAGTTGGTGGCATTTTAATATTTGCAAGGATTGTTGCAATAGAAGCCAAGACTTATTAACAATAGATAAGGTAGGCAAACAACCGAACGACAGTACAGCAGATCGCTTTTTGAGTGATAATACATTGTGACGGGAAGTAATTAATTTATTGATTTATTTATTTACAGCTCAATGGCCAAACTTAGACTAAAAACAATAAAATACAATTAAGATTTACAAAATTTACAGTAAATGCTATCCTCTTATCCCCTCCAGGTACACTGAAACCACAGTATACCACCCCCATAAGCTTCCCAAACAGGTCGCTCTCCGGTGAATTTGTGGTACAATACATAAAAACTACATGTACATTGCATGTGACTTCCCTCTTGATGTAGTCAAAGTGGTGTTCATTTATATAATTTATATGTTTACTTCGCGTATCATAAGAAAACCGCGGCAAAATTTAAATTAGTTAAAAGTAGTCTAAAACACAGACTCAACTACTGTTTATAGTTCCATAATATACAAGTTTCAGGCAGTGACGGATTGACTCTGTGAATACGATTTAAATGTATATCGAGAAATTTGATATTTACCGCCTCGTCTATAAATACAAAGACACAATATATTATCTTATCTTTTAGAAGCTTGGTGTGCTCAGCATGGCAATACGGATCTTCACTCCGGGCTATCGCTTGCAACTGTATGTATAAAGCGCAAATTCGGCCCCACATGTTTTTACTTCTGAGTCCCGCCCAGAGCCCCGAGTTCTGCCCCCGAGCACTATGAAATATTTACCAATCAATTCGACTTAGCGTCTTTCAAAAGAGCTTACCAATTTCTAAAAAGCCAGTGAGAGTGTCCATGGGTGGCGGTTTCACTTATCATCAGATGAGCCTCCTGCCATCTCGTTTGTCCCGTTCTTTAATAAAAATATTTAGTAAACTATTTAATATCACGTGACTACATGAATACATACTAAATAATAAATCCGAACTGTATCCTCTGAAGAGTTTTAGGATGCAGAATTTGTTAAATCTCATATTTTTTATTTATAATCAAGTGTTCATATTGTGCTTTAGAAAAGAAAGACACTCAGGACAGACATTAGACCAGTGAGATATGTATTTTTTTTCCCATGAGCTTTTCTATAAGAATATAAATTAGAACATCCCATAAAATAATACGCTCAATGGCAGTTGTCAATTGGTGTGACAATTTACAAATTCAAAAACTGTAGTCTCAAACGCTAAATTACAGTATACTCTGTGATGTGCATGTGCATTGTGCATATAAATATTTGTAAGTGATAAGTTTTATATTGAAATTAAATTACCCCTTATTCTTACTGAACCCGTATTAAATTGAAAGAAAATTGAATTTGAAAGTATTTCCGACGATCCGTTTTGTAAGTAGCTTAAATTCGTACCACTCCATTCCTGGAAGTAATATCGATTAATAACACGAACTTATTACCGCTATAACTATTGCACATAATTCTTAAGATAATCATGTAAAATATTTAAGCAATTACTTTTAGCTCAGTGTTATATATTTCAAACATTTTCTACAGCCTTAAAGTAGTTATATTTACTCAAGAACAATGTCGATGCCACATAGCAGTTCAAGTACAACAAGCTCAAGTACAAAGCGAAAGGAAATCTACAAGTGAGTATTTTGAAATTAGTTTTAAATTATAATATATAAAAAAATTACTAGTATAAAACTAAGTAGTAATCAATAAGGACTATTTTAATTACACATTCAAGAGCTCTTATCATAAATGAAGACTGAATATTTCTATAAGTTATCTATAATACTTTTCTATATCTAATGGTTTACATGAATATTTCAGATATCAGGCACCATGGCCACTTTACTCGATGAACTGGTCAGTTCGTCCAGATAAACGATTTAGATTGGCTCTTGGAAGCTTTGTCGAAGAGTACAATAATAAGGTAAAAACAAAATTTAGGGCAGACTAACCTAACTAGAACGGAATATACTTACTAAATAAATTTTACAGGTACAAATAATATCGCTTGATGAAGAGACAAGTGAATTCAGTGCTAAAAGCACTTTTGACCACCCCTACCCAACTACCAAGATCATGTGGATACCAGACAGTAAGGGTGTATACCCTGACTTGCTTGCTACAAGTGGTAAGTTAAAAACCTAGATAGAAGAAAGTTAGAAATAATGACAAGTTTTTTGGTTATCTTCACATAGGAAAAACTAACTATTAAAATACTCTTTATATATAAAGTGAAAGGAAGGATGAAATAAAAAGGAATAATGTCTACAAAGTACCCGATAACCAATTTAAATTTAATGGTATTTAAGTCACTTAGGATTATCCTTGACATATTGTATATGAACTTTAATAATGACTAAAGTTTGGATATTTAATAAAAGACAGATGCTACATTTCTCTTAATTTCTTCTAATATTTCAAATATTGGCATTTGTACACTAAACTTAATTGTGTACCTTCACAGCATTGTTATTAAAACATACATATTGGTCTTATATCCATAAGATTCTAGGTTTGATATTTGTAACAATAGATGTTTTGTGTTAATATGGATGCTTATTTAATGAAACTTACCTATAAATGTGATATGGGTTGCCTAGCAAATGTCAGTCAAGCTTTTAATAATATGAACTTATAACCTATGCCAAGCTATCTTAATATACTCTAGTGTCAAAAACGAATAGTTACAAATAAATAATTAATTGATTAAAAACAAAACGTTTGCATATTCTATTTGGGGGGGGGGGGGGCCAAACGGGGGGGGGAAGAAAAAAAAAAAAAAAAAAAAAAGGGGAAAAAAAAAAAAAAAAAAAAAATAAAAAAAAAAAAACCCCACGGGGAGGGAAGGAGGGGGCCACCCCCATTGAATATATATTTTTATATAATATTAAATTTTAAAAAAAATAAATTTTATTAAAAAATCCCGTTGGAGAAGGTGGTTTATAGGGGGATCTTAGAACAAGGCGTTTTGTGTTAATATGGACAGAACACCTATAAATGTGATATGGAATGTCGCTTAGTATGAACTGATAACATAAGCAAGCTATCTTAATATACTCTAAGTCAAAAACAAAAATCAGTTACAATACTTAATATAACAAATCTTCTAGCGAAGTGTCCAGGAAACTTCTGAGCCTCTGAAAGTAGCTAGGCTGCCTTTATTAGCCAGGACATAATTGTACAACGGACCAAGTGTAAAAACTCTACTTGATATTCAACTTCTCTAGCAATTCCTTTAGCAGATTTTTGAGATTCCGTTTTTTTTATTAAAATTTCTTGACATTAGATAGATTATATTATTTTTCAGGTGACTACCTTAGAATCTGGCGTGCTGGTGAACCCTACACACTTTTTGAATGTGTCCTAAACAACAACAAGAATTCAGACTTTTGTGCTCCCCTTACTTCTTTTGATTGGAACGAAGTAGACCCTAACCTGATTGGAACAAGTAGTATTGACACAACTTGTACTATTTGGGGCCTGGAAACAGGTCAAGTCCTGGGAAGAGTTAACGAGGTGTCAGGACATGTCAAGACACAGCTTATTGCTCATGATAAGGTATATTTAAAAAAAAAAAAACATGAAAGCAAATAATATTATACAAAGTTATGCACGCACTTTTCCAGGGTTTCTAATTGTCTGGAGGAAATATTTTGTAAACAATAAGTTTACCATTATCATGCTACTATAGGTGTTGATTACTTTATAAAATGTTAAAAATGTATTATTTACCAGATTTTTTATTAGAAGTTGTATATATTCCAGGAAGTATATGACATAGCATTTAGTCGTGCTGGTGGTGGCCGAGATATGTTTGCATCTGTAGGGGCTGATGGCTCTGTGAGAATGTTTGACCTGCGGCATTTGGAGCACTCAACTATTATATATGAGGTAATCATTTTCCCAGAGTGGTTTCAATTCACTATCTTAACTTGTAAATGCCCAAAAAGGAGTTAGTTGCTTTTAAAACTTTTGTGTGTTGTTGCTTATAACTGCGGAGCATTTTTTATTTATGTAACTTAACATGGTTTGCAAGAACAATTGAAAACTTTGCCAGATTGACAACTATATATTATAAGATGACACATATTATGTTGTGTGTATTTTAAATATTTTCAGTCAAGTTTGTTATACTAATTAAAAAACATAAAAAGGATATAGCTTAAAGAGCATGCTTAAGTTTGCTCAAGTAAATCAATAATTTAGAAGATGTGACTTTGAATGCACCAATTATTAATTTTTCATAAAATTCAGTTTTCCTAATCAAAAAGACTAATATAAAATGTAACAGTTTGTTCATGGTAAATTAACACTTTTCATTTAAGTTAATAAAGTTGTTTTACTGTAACTATTCCAATGCCGGACCTGGGGAAGTAATATTATCTTGATTTTTAGGATCCCCAACACACTCCACTGCTACGATTGGCATGGAACAAGCAAGACCCTAACTACTTAGCAACTATTGCTATGGACGCATGTGAGGTCATTATTTTGGATGTACGGGTCCCTTGTACCCCCGTCGCCAGATTGAACAACCATAGAGCCTGTGTCAATGGAATTGCTTGGGCACCCCACAGGTATTTTGAATTTTATTGTATATAAGTCGCATATATAGACCTATGCATGGTGAACCTTCGTCGCTTACAATGCAGCTTTTGTTATATTTTTTATTTTTACTCCATAGTGGAACTTATTACCTATATTATACATTTAAGAATTAATAATTATGGACGTCAAGTAAGTACCTATTTACATACAAACAGCTTCTTGTAGCCTGTGGTCTTATAATAATTTATTATTTTTGGAAATAGTTATATATTATGTAGTTATTTAATAATAAACTGCAATTAAAAAATAATTATCTTTACTTGGTAGTAAATATCGCAAATTTATTCTTCTTTCAGCTCCTGTCACATCTGCACAGCCGGTGATGACCACCAAGCATTGATCTGGGATATTCAGCAAATGCCAAGAGCTATAGAGGACCCTATATTGGCCTACACCGCTGCTGAAGGAGAAGTAAACCAAATACAATGGGGCGCAACACAACCTGATTGGATAGCCATTTGCTACAACCGACATACTGAAATACTCAGGGTATAAGGAAGTCCAAAAAAATCAACCCCATGCATAAATTAATTTAATTTGTTAAGGTCAAAGTCCTATATGGCACCGACAACTTTATGATTGAAATGGTGTGAATGGACTTCTTATGAAAACCTATAATTACAAATAAGGTGATTTTAAAAGTATTAATTCCTTAAGGTTTTTGGAACTGGTCTAATTACACCATGACTACTAACTATTTACAAAAGCTTACATTTCTTATCTACTATCAAAGCCACTATTTTCATTATGCCCACATAACAAATAAAGTATGAGGACTCAAAATTTGTACAAGTGTTTCGATTGCTACCATTTCAAATGTGCAAATGGAAATTGATTACGGTATTCCATTCATATTTATCTGTACTTCTATGACTTAACCGTTATTAAAAATTTAATTTTAAGATGTTTCAGATTTAAAAATCAGGAAGGTGTGTGTGAAGGATGTATCTGCTAAAAAAAATTAAGAAAAGACCGAAATATATCATTATTCAATGCTAAAATATTTTTTAAAATAATTAATGCGAGGAAATGTTTAATTACTTACCAAGTATGAAGCATTAAAAAATGTAACATTTTTAGGTCTACATTTTGTTAGATTACAAAAACCAATTTATTAAATTGTGTATGTGTTAATCAATTATGGGCGTAACAAATATTTGATATATTTCTGTTTCTATGGAATTTTCTAAGAATATTGCAAGTAAGAATAAAGTTAGGCAAGACAGTAACTGATAGATATAATATTCAGTATGAAGACACACATTTTATGTAAAAAGTAGAACATGTTTATGCAATAATAACAATTCCTCTACATAATTGAAGAAACATAATGGGCGTGTTTGGCCGAAGTAAGTACTTACTAAACTTAGTAAGCCAGTAAGCATAAAAAATTAAAGTCTTACAAGCTGATGGTGCCCAGACTTACTGGCTTATTAACATAACACAAAACACGGTTTATGTCATATCCGTACATATAAAATACTTTTTTTACATAAAATAACAAAAGGTGTATTACTACTCTAGCACTTATTTTGTGTCCGGCCGAAAATTTTGTAAGATAGTAGGTGACTTATAAATTTTATAACAGCCAATGTTTAAGACTGAATTTGGTGTTTGTGTTATAAATTTTGCAACTTACAATGTATAAGTATAATTATTAGTATTACAAAAACTCAGCTTGTAAATATTTAATCATGTTGCAATTAAATTTTTTGATATGATATTGTAGTCTACATGCAGGTTGAAGTTTGTTACACTTGATTTTCAACAAATTTATAGTTTGTTTTAAAAACAAGATGAATTTTGGTTAGTTTTGCACAACTTATCTAATAGAAAATAATATGGTATTATAAGTAAAGGATTTTTCACCGTTTATAACATTATGGACTGTTTTAAGTAATTGAACAGTATTCTTATGTAGACCTTGGTATCCCGGTCTTTGAATCATGGTCTTTTTGGTATCCCAATCTTTGTGAAAAGTTATTTTGATGACTAGGTTTAACTCACAATAACTCTCGGTTTACTATATTTTTGGTATAATAAGATAGATTAAGTTATTTATATTAATTACCAGAGGGAAACATTTCTTACTGTTTACTATTATGCAATAAAAGGTACCAAAATAGTTAGTAATTTATTTTCATTAATTACCAATTGCTTTAATTTGTTTGTTGACCCAAAGAAAATTCTTCATAAATTTTAAGCAAAGACTGGGGTGTGCGCGCCCTAAAGTCTTTTAGTACATTTTGAAAATGTTCCATTCTTACAGCAGGACAATCTAAATCGTTTTCTAATGCCTGTAGTGCTGCTTCATGACATAGTGCATGTAATTCTGCACCTGAGAACCCCCCAGTTTTGGTGGCCACATAATGAGAATTAACATCATCACTGATGCTCATCTTTGACAAAATTATTTCAATTATTTGCAATCTAGTTTCAAAGTCTGGTAAGGGCACATAAATAAGTCTGTCTAATCTACCTGGCCGCAACAAGGCCCTATCCATCCTATCTGGACGATTTGTTGCTGCAAGTATAGTAACTGACTTAAGGGGCACCACACCATCTAGTTCTGTTAAAAGTTGTGCCAACACACGCTCATGTACACTGGCTTCTCCTGCTCCTCTTTCGCCTCCAATTGCATCCATCTCATCGAAAAATATAATTGATGGTGCCACCTGTCGTGCTTTAGTAAATAAATCTCTGACAGCTTTTTCTGATTCACCAACAAATTTAGAGAACAACTCTGGTCCTTTGATTGAAAGAAAATTGAGTCCGCTTTCTGTGGCCAATGCTTTGGCAATCATAGTTTTCGAACACCCTGGGGGACCATAAAGTAGTACTCCTGCAGGGGCCTTAACACCTAGTCTCTGAAAACTTTCTGAATGTTTCAGAGGCCACTCTACTGCCTGACGCAGTTTAAGCTTTAGGTGATCAAGCCCACCTATATCTGTCCATCGGACATTGGGGACTTCTATCAACAGTTCTCTCATTGCACTTGGGCGAACAATTGTCAAAGCACTAATGACATCTTCTTTTTCAATTATCTTGCTTCCTCGCTTAATACATTTTAATGAAGCCTGAGTACACAGGTTCACCAAATCTGCTGCCACATACCCATGAGCCATGTCAGATATTGAATCAATTTCATCTGAAGGCACTTTAGAAGGTAGTCCTTTAAGAAGGACATACAATATATCTTTTCTTCGTAACCTGTCAGGTACTGGAACCTCTATTTCTTTATCTAATCTTCCAAATCTTCGAAGCATGGGATCTATTGCATCTGGTTTTCTAGTAGTGGCTAATATAAAAACCCTATTGTTTTCTTCATGTAAGCTGTCCAATAGAGAAACAAATGCTGATGTCACTCTTCTTTCTTGCTCTGTACTACCTGATGAACGCCTAGGACATATTGTCTCCATTTCATCAACAATTACAATGCAAGGTTCACTCTCTACAGCCTTTGCAAAAAGATTTTTCATAGTAGCCTCAGTTTCACCAAAATATTTACTGAATATTGTGGGTCCATTGATTTCAATATGGTTACATTTTAAATTATCTATTAAATATCTGCAAATTGCAGTTTTACCAATACCTGAATGTCCATAAAGCAAAAGTCCTCTTGTAGGCTGAAAATGAGCAGCTATTCCTTCTATATTAAATGATATTTGGATTAACGTTTTGATATCATCAATAATATCATCATATCCTCCAACCATCTGTGGTTTCTTACATTTTTCTACAGTATTCTGATCAATTTTCCAAATAGTATTTTCAGATAAACTAAACCATACATGTGCATCAGATAAGGTTTCGGCTTTTATATTTACAAATTCTATTTCTATTTTTTTACCAAAATAGTAGTAAACTAGTATACTGCCAATGCACACAAAATAATTTTTGAAATGTTCTTGTAGTAGATCAATAATATGACTATCTATTTTCTGATTATTTATTTTAATATTAACAGTAAATGCTAATGGAAGCTCTTGTTCTAATACAGATACAATAACACTTTTATTATCACTGCACCAACTTGCAGACAGATCTAAAAGTAAAATAAAAATTAATTCAGATATACACAGTAAACAGAAAATTATTTAGATGTGAATGAGGGTCAATTTGTACTAACCTGCTGCTTGTATGATTACAGCTGCTGGTGAAGATGTTTTAGAAGGCCACATTCGTCTGAGTATTGTTGGAGAACCTTTCTTTTTTATCTCTAAAGGGCATCCAATAACTGCCCCTATTAATGTTCCTGCAGAGGGATGTATTAAAACAGCATTGCTAGGAGCATTCTCAGGTAGAGAACCACATCTCTCAAGCCACGAAAACAATTTACTACCTTCTACGTATGGACATTTTACTTGATCCTTGCCACAATTCAATTCTATGTGAATACTTTTATCATTTGTTGGTATGGTGCAGTTACATTTCTCACATTCTACCCATAATGTTTTCTTTCCTTGCTTCGGTGGCATTTTCAAAACTTAAAAAATACTATTCACATATTATCTTATTTATTAGACACTGTAAAAGCTTTAAAGGTAATCATTAAAATATATATTTATAATCATAACCTTATATTAAAATTAAAAAGCAAATGTTAATTCAAAATACAAAGTGTCAGATGTCATTTGACAGCAAATAAATTCCAACTTAGGCTCTGGCACGATTTGTGCATTAGCCAGCGTCAAGTATAGGATTTTTTATAATTCGTGCTTGTCTTTAGAAATTCGACCATGTCCTCCATGTCCTCCATGTACGGTTTAAGCACTCGCCCGGTACTGCACAACCCACCCAAAGGCCGAGAACAAATTTAAATTAAATAAAACTTGCCCTCGAACCGGGAATCGAACCCGGTACCCCTCACCTAGCTGCCACTTAATAAGACCGCTAGGCTAAGAGGCCCCCAATTAAATTTCATTATTATTTAATATTTTATTTATTTTATTGCCACCACCAGGCCATGAATCATAAAAAAAATTCGTCAAGCCGCAGTGGGGCAACAAAATGTCAAATGTTTTATTAGGTTCGGATTGTCAATTGTCATTTGCTAGGCATCTGTCACTTCTGTCAGTAATCAGTATACACAGTCATCGCTCATCGACTTAGTCATGATCACTCAAATATTAAAAACAAGTAATCTTTTCATATTGACCAAAAATAATTATATTTAGTATATGACACTAACTGAAATATTATAAATAGTTTCTAAAGTATAACATAGTTACAACACTTTAAGTACATAAGTATTAGGCACGTCCAGGATTTGGTGACCAATAAGGATGACACTCGCAGAGTTTTTTAGTTGTACTCTACTTGCTTTCGGTCCACCGTTGGCAATGTTCGCAATGACCATAGCTAAAGATCCAGTAAGAATAATAATCATGATAGCAGCAGCCTTTTTCTGGCTTCTATCGTTTTTAGTATCCTCTTTGGTTTGGTTCATAGTTGTCCCACTTCGAAGCTATTTAGCTTTTGGTATGGTGTTCGCGGTTGCTTTTCAGGTATATTTTAAAGCTTTCTCTTTGGTTATGAAGTAAACGTAATATTTTTTTTAAATATATTAATTATTTTTCTTTCATTATAGGAAATTTTCAGATACTTCATATACTTGTTACTTAGAAAAACCGAGGCAGGTCTCAAAGAAATATCAGATAATAATGAAATAAGTAGTCACAAATTAGAGATGGCCTATGTTTCTGGCCTAGGATTTGGTAGTATGAGTGGAGCATTTGCCTTGGTTAATGTTCTAGCAGATTCTGTAAGTATATATTAATCTGATATTCAACATTTTAATAATAATATATTAAGAAAAACACTGTTTCACTGGATAAAAACGTTTGTTTAAAATTATTTATTTGATTTTAAACCTATTAAATTGTTTTGCATCTTGTATAGCTGTTGATTAAAGATAAGTTAATCAACCTGCCTGGCTTTAACTATTATATTTAAAATTATTTTAAGGGTAACTATTTATTTTATATATAATTTAAGTAAACAAACAACAATTATTATTAATATTATGGTAATAGTTTGGTAATCTTTGTTATTGATGATTACACGGGTCAACATGAAATTTGACTTTGATTGCAAAGCATTAAATTTCGGTAGTTTAGGTCGTAATAAGACGGAAAAAAAATATATGACATGAAAAACTTTGCTTGTGTGCTTAGAAGACTGATTGAACGAAATTTTTAAAAATCTCGGATTTTAATTTTTGATTGAAAATAAAACTATTGAAATAAAAATGTTTAGTATTTTTATTAAGTTTTACTATCAAATTAGCTTACAGAAAAGTGGAAAATAACTTAAAAGTCCACACTTTTACTTTTTCTTTTATGTTCATAGCTGCTTTCTCTCAATAAACCCCAAATATAGTCGCCCATCATGTTTTCATTGTATTGGCCTTGATAGCGTTGTTCAAAATTCATGATGTCCTGATGGAAACGTTCTCCTTGCTCTTCGGAATAGGCTCCCATATTGTTTTTAAATTTATCCAAATGAGCATGCAGCATATGTACTTTTAATTACATCCTGCAGCCCATGGCCTTAAAATTTGTAAGCATATCCTCAACCAAGTTTTCGTAGTTTTCAGCTTTATTATTTCCTAAAAATCCAGAAACTACTGCTTTAAAACTGTTCCAACTTGCTTTTTGAGTACGATTCAGCAACGTTGGAAATTTTTCATCGGCGAAAATCTGTCTTATTTGCGGACCAACAAAAACCCCAGCTTTAACCTTTGCTTCCGATAACTTCGGAATTTTTTTTTTAACTATCACAAAAGCAAACTTTATACCGAAAAAAGGTATTTTCTTTTCGTTTTTGTGCATAACTGGAAAATAATAGTATAAACTTTAGGACAAAGAACGAAATTTTTTTTGTAGAGTCGTGTTATTAATTATATATGATTTATTACTTTATATATTTTCAGGTTGGACCAGGCACTCTAGGTCTTCAAAATGGAACTGAGTTCTTCTTTGTCTCAAGCGCAGCTATGACTCTCTGTATGATTCTTCTTAATACATTTTGGAGTGTTATTTTCTTCAATGGAATGGATGAAAAGAACTACAAGAAGATATTTTGGGTTGTTGGTTCACACTTTTTAGTATCTGGCATAAGTTTAATGAACACAAAAGGGCTATATGTATTTACCATTTTACCTTCTTATATAATTTTAGTAATTACAGCAATAACAGCATTTAAGTGTGCTGGAGGAAACATTGCTTCTGTATTAAATTCTTGTTTTTCCAAGGCCTAAGAAATAAACACCCTCTAATGATGATTGAAATAATTACATGAAGACCACTCAGTCTTGACTTGAGAAATAAAAAATAACATAGATCTCTCTTTAGATTTTATTTATTTAGTACATAAGAAATAATAACTAAGCTGATGTTTGTGTACTATACAAAATGTTAGTAGTTTAATTAAATAAACAACTTAAAGACATCCTTGAAATTTGTTTTTACTTATATAAGAATCACAACATATATAACAACAGTTGAGTTCTGTAAATTCCCCTTGTTAATTCGATTCCTGACAGGCAGCAAATAGCAGGTGCAATGCAAATATTGTATGCCAGTCTAGGAAATATTAGTTATCATCAATTTCTTCATTGAGTTGCATTAATAAAGAGTCAATGGTCCAAATAGTGTCTGGTGAGTCTGAATCGTGAGGAATATATGTTTTGAGAACATCTAAAGCTGCATCAATCCCTTCAACTGAAGATGTAATGCCGCCACTGACCTCAGCTAAAGTATTAGCTGTTTCAGTATCCTTTCTCTCAGTCCTGGAATGTAAATCATATCACTTTCATGATTACAAAATTAAAAGTTAATGGATATGTCACCTTATGGCAATGTATCTTCTTTTCAACAACAGATTGCACTGTTAAATTAAATAAATTTTTGAAGTACTGTAGTTATAAATATAAGCGTATATTATAACCATATAACTTACACTGGAGGCTTTGATAATTCCTTTTCTAGGATATCTTGAAAATCATCTATGTCAGGTAATGTAGGTATATCATCAAATGATTCTGGTGATTTTTTTGGAATTATAAGTTCTCTGAAAAGTACACTTTAGTAGTATATCTTACCTACCTATTGTATTGGAGTTTTATAATTATAAAATGGTAAGATATGAAAATAGCTCTTTGATTAAACAATATTATTTTTATCGCATTGTTTAAGGAATGCCAATGTAGCTAGGCCAGCCAGTAACCTACTTTGTTTGTAATGGAGCACCTTCTGTCCAAACACCAACTTTACGAGGCTCCGGCATTTTTGAATTCTGGTCATTCATTTAAAATTATTATATTATATGCTTCTATTGCTTCTTTAAACAAATTTGATTTCTATTTCATACTTTTGCAAACGGTTGTACATCAATTAATTATACATAAAATACTAAACTTCAGAATTTAATATTTATATACTGACTAATGACTATTGTAAATAATCGTTTTTGCTTTAACCAAGATTCTCAAATTAAAAAAAAAAAAAAGATCATGTAGAGGTAAACATATTTTAACATGAATGCGCATTGATTATATTTACATTATGATATTGAATATTACTACTAAAATTCAAGGCTCGGACTGACACAGGACACTTGATTCTGATTACTTGTTGTTTAAAGCTGACGTTTAATTTAACTTTGATTTATATTAAAACTTTAAACATTTCGTAATTCTCACAATCTGTAAATGTCAAGTTCTAACTTTTCACGAAACGAAACACGAAAGCGTCTCTAAAAAATCAATTTGGTTTCTATCGTAGATAGAGTATAGAACTAGATGAGCTTCTAAAATAACAATAATAACTAAAGAGAGAAGGCATTAACGTGAAATTCTTAAGTGCGAGCGAAACAGAGTATCAGTTTTTCCTGTCTCTATTTGCGTATCGGGTTTTATTTGTTTACCACCGAGCTCTTGGTGGTAAACAAGTTTTCACCGCTTACTGATAAATCTGTGAAACCCAAGTCAAACCCATATTTTAAGACTTTATCCTTATAAGAGGTGTATTTAAAGTGTCAGTCATTGTGAATTGTTGCATAATTAGCTGTAAAAGCTATAGTGAACGTAAAGAACCAAACATAACCATTTCATCGGTAAGTAGCTTATTTTGTCACGATTCAGTAACTTTTTACAAGAATTATTCATTCTAATGTGTATTTTGGTCAATAAAATAAGCAATCTTCAATGAATTAAAACTGTAAATACGACATAATATGTCGATCATTCGCTATCTCACACGCTGTACGCTGATGCCTGGTCTATACCATAGTCCGTCTACGATTTCTATCCATATTTTTAAACTTTAAAATGATAGAAAATAATTACTGGAATAAATTCTTATATTCAATCAGTTCCAATAATTGTTGAGTTTATAATATTTTTACCAAAAATATCAACATAATATCTAGATGGTCGATTTACATAGTATAATATAATTTATTCTGTTGTTGGATTCAGGGATTATTTTCTTACGCTTTCATTTTATCATTACCAGGTTATCTGGTCTAATCTCGATCGATCTAAACTAAAATCATTTGGGTTTAGGAGGAATCGTTTAGGGTGAAATAATTATAATTTAGGTGGTTGGTTGACCTTATTTATTATTGAAAAAATGAATGTTCTTCCATCTATGTTCACATAAAGTAAGCGAACAATCGTGCGAGCAACTGACTCAGAGATGTAAATGTCTTAAATTTCTACTAGATGTCGCTATTTCGCCAAAACTTTTTAGAAAACGTAAGAAGGTAAAAATATTTTTTAGAGATTTTCATCTTGATAGTTTACCATGTCATATTAACCATCATAAATCGTTGAAAGTTTGTTCATTTAAAAAAAAATGTGGTATTTAATTTGTTAATGGACGTTGAGTTTTAATTGCACTATACATTATTTATATTTCGTCGATTTAACCCTAGCAATCCTTTATTGTGTCTAAAATAAAACAAGTTTATATATAGCTAAGTGATAAAACAAAGCTTCTATAATATAGTGTAATATCTAAGTAATAATAATAAATAATAAGTACTTAACGTAGTTTAATTTATAAAACGTCACAAATAATTTAATAAACATTACAATATCGCAATTAAGCCATAAACTCACGGATGCAAAGTTATTTTGTCGTCACCTTCTCACAATTATCGTTTCACGTCGATAAGATTTGCATACGACGCATTAAAATCACGATTATGTCAATTTTACACGTTGAATGCGTATAGACCAGAGTTTAGGTGAAAGCAAACGACAGACCGTTGGAGGTGGCAGGTACCCAATGATCACTTCAAGCTTGTCAGTGTCCACACGATGGTGAAAGGTGCTATGTCGCGACACACGAACCTTGATCGGACGATGATCATGCGATCATTTATTTTGTGTGCCATATTATTTGTGAACGGTTAGTTGTGTTTAGTTATTTAATTAGCGGTAGGTACAGCTTTTCAACTTGTTATACAAGTGCGTCAATGTACTGGGGAAGGTGAAAGCTATAAGTTACATAGGTTTTGGCGAATTTGGTGCGAAAGGCGCGTGTTATTCAATCTATTTAGCAATGGGTCGCTAATTACGCTACTTCGTATAATTGCTTTAGAAAGTGCCAGTTACACGAACATCCCTTTGAGGATGTGGACCTCTGTGCACGTTCTTTCACTTGACATTGGAACGTGACCAGTTATATTAACATTTGACATTAACCAATGGAACTTAAAATTTGATTTACTATTTCCTTGAAATGTATTGACTATTTACGAACATAAATAAATCCTACGCTATTGTACGCGAAATAAACCTTTATAAGCTTATTTTCTTGACCCTATGCCTGCCAAAAGATAATCTGATATCAAAATATTTTCGTTGTCTGTGTATCAAAAGTACCTATATATCAAAGGTATTGTAAGTATTTGTATGGCAAAATGGACAAGTATAGGTAGCTACTTTGACAGGTTTATTGAACGAGTTCATGTGCAACACATTTCAATCATTACTCGACACTCGTTGCACCTGCTAAAACACATCGTCCTTGCAAATCATCCTACCTTCAAACGAAATGCGAATGATTGTATCATTGCGTGATTAATTGTCGATAGTTGTTCAGATAAATCCAATATATTTGGGCACAATTAATATTTATAAAACGTTGCTCCTGTGGTGTCTGGAATAAATTATAATGTACATATCGGTATTTCAATGTCTGGACCATTATATGTAGGCATAGCAGAACATTCTTTTAAATTATTCAAAATGGCTTACAGTTGCGGCACAGTATAACCCAATTTATTTATATTTCGATGCACTTTTTACTTTGCGGTCTCTGACTGTATTTTCTACTTGGCTCAACCAATATTTATTCATAAAATGCAGTGTTAAAAATGAAATAATTTTCATATTATTTCATACTAGTTGGAAGATTGTATTTTATGCATATGGAAGAATATTTAAATATGATTGTTTACCTTTTTTTAACAGTTAACAAGCGCGTACCGTCCACACTTTGCTATTTATTTTTACAGTCTATGGTTTAAGTGATTCTTTGTTTTGTTTATTATCATTACAACAAATTACGACCTTGATTTTTCGTGATAAATGAGGAAACGAATATTTTTAATAAAGATACTGTTTATATACGAAACTAAACCTCCTTTTATTTCTGGGTTCCGTTCCAAGTCTTGGTCACGCATTAATTTGTCTATGTGTTTTTACTAGTATGTAGTAACCTATTTTGTTCTAAGGTCTTGTAAATATTTTTGACATTCTGTCTACCTTTCATTTCACCTAAAACTGTTTGACCAACCAAGCTACGAAGTCGGTACTTTAAGTGCTGTTACATATTTATTTAGCGGCAAAATTTCCAGTTATGTAGAATGGATTTTATTGCGTTTAAGTAAACAGTACGTATTCGCGTGTTAATAATATAAACTCTACAAAGAGCATTGCGCGATACTTTTTCGTTTTACGTTTTCATTTCATTGTTGTGTAATGTAATAAACAATTGAAAACATAGTTTGATCCGTTTCCAGCAGGGACTTAGGATAAAAGCATTGGAAAATCCAATGATAAATTCCTCTTTTGGCTAGAATTGGTAACAAAGTGAGGATTTCAATAATCTTGCCGTCAACTAAAGACGATCCCCTATTATAATTAACATAGTTTATTTGATATGGCAAATTCAATGTTGAAATCTCAAGTTATAAGGAGTAAATGTTTTTTATTGATACCGCTCTACTTCGTTTTTCTTAAAGTCAGTTAAAAAGTGGTAATAACAGTTTATTATTAATTATTTTTAAATTAATAATTTTACGTGTTGCATGAACTACCTTTTATAATATCGAATTCGCTTTAGTTCCGCGAAATCGCTTCAGTGGTCTTACGTAATGTAAATAAGTAGAAAAATTGTGTTACTCTAGTCATAGATTATTCATTTATCTATAGGAATCAACAGAGACAACACAAATAGTACCTGTAACGAGATATAAGTGTTGATCTGGCCAAATAGTTGAGCTCCCCAAATTAATAATAAAAAACGACGCCCGTCGTTTCACAACTGTGCGTTTTTTAAGGCAGTTTTTGCCGCACCAATATGTAGAACCAGCTGCCCACTAAAGAATTTCCGAACCAAATCGACTTAGGGTCCTTCAAGAAAAGAGCGTACCAATTCTTAAAAGGCTGGCAATGCACTCGCGTGCCTCTGGCATTAAGAGAGTCCATCCGCGGCGGCGGTATCACTTAACATCAAGTGAGCCTTGTGCTTCTTTGCTCTTTGCTCTATAAAATAATAATAAAAATATATATATCAGTAATAATAAATATCAGGTTTCTTACTTACTTTTAATAAGAAAAAAAATCATTTTCATTAGATTACACTTCCGTATTTACGTTATTATCGTTCTTGTATAGAAAATTTATATTTGTTTCACAAGCAGTACTTTCTGATATGCCCGGGATCCCTTCTTTATCAAACAACTTCTTTATCGGACAAACATTGGTTCTTTATATATCATCACCCGCTATACAGGATACATTTTTTATTGAGCTATTCGTATCGTTATATTAAGAAATAAATTCTAACATTATTCACAATGTAGAATCATATCATAATATTTATTTATGATTCATATAATAAACGGTTTCACTATATTAGTGTTATTATATTGTTCCCTTTGAAGTGGAGAATCTTGGGCCGTGTGGTTCATGTGCAAAGGCGCTTGGTAGATAGTACCGGTGACCCCAGAGGCCAGAGCTGGTGCTTTCCTCGCTCAACGAATAAGTATCGCAATATAGCGAGGAATGCTGCCAGCATTAAAGGTACACTGGCGCAGATACAACCTTTTTAAATTTGTGTTTATATTCTATATATCAATTTTTAATTATTGTATTATTTTATTGCAAATTATTTGTTTATTATTTGTCATTCACAATTCTAATAGATGGCGCTGTGTTGAAAGTACCAACGTTTCACATAAGCTACAATTTAATGGCATAACAACCAAAAAAGCATAGTGGTCCCCATGACTGGTGTTCTCCCGTTTCCCTGGAATAGTTTACTACCATATAATATAACAAAAACCTTAGCCACAGCAACGCTTGGCCGAGTATGCTTGTTATAATATAAAGCTATAAAGCTTGGTCCCAAATTATGTATTATTTTTATTATATTGTGTTAAAACATTCACAGTTCAATGTCAAAAAGACAAGGAAGGCGCGGAGTACGTGTGCCCGGAAGGCACGCAAGGCAATGGAAATTTCGCAGACCCTGCAACGTGTAGAAGATTTTATCAGGTAAGAAGTTTAATGATAAACTGAAACTTGCACTTTAATTGCATTAATTAGTCATCTTATGACAGCACTAGCTGGTGCCCGCGACTTCGGTTATTATATTAAAATAATATTTGTCCAAATTATGTAGCGTGAAAGACATATTTTATCTACTTTAAATACCAGAAGTGATAAAAGTATATATTTTCATAAAGTTATCAATTTATTATTACCAAATTTGCAGTAGAAATAAATTATCAATTTTTATTGTAGTTATGGTTAACTATTTTGGCTATAATGGTACACATAAGACATAGATATATACTGTGACGGGCTTTTTTGAAGAACCATTTAAGATAAACATTTCCATAATACATTACCATATGTGTAACTCTAGCGGTTTTGGCAGCGCAGGCCAAATAGTTCACAGATGGTAGATTTTTCCTACTTACTTGATATTTTGGATTGGATTGGATCGACACAATCTCTTTATAAATTGTAGCCTATGTGTTATTCTGATGTAAAGTTATATTATTTTAAGGTTTTATTAAAATCCATTCAGGAGGTTATACGTGAAAGAGTAACAAAGATCCATCTATACTTACAAACTTTCGCGTTTATAGTATTAGTAGGATCTGTTGCTTGAAGTATTCATTGTGTTTAGGAAGAGATGTTAGCACTTTCCATGTAACAGTGAAGATAATGGAAACCAGATGCACAAACGTGTATGTATTTATCCGGTGCTCAAGCATGTCGCACAAGTTAGTCAAAATTCGATTGTAATCATATACATAATTTAAACTTATTTAAAGGCCGTCCAATAATGGGTGCTAATCTGAAAATAACAGCACAAAAGCGGTCATGTTCTCTTTTTTTGGAAGTTCTCTCATCACATATGCCTTCTAGAGATGCAGGGTTTCCCATCTCCTAAGATTTGAGTGCATGTAAATAATACGATTCCTCGTTGTTTAAGTTGTCTTTAAGATGTATCACCAGATTTAGAAAAGTTTATTAGTGCACAGGGTTTCCTATTCATATAAGATAGCTTAAGACAAAAGTCATTTATCCGCAAAACCTTGGCCACAATGTTTATCATGCTTTGGTGTAATTGAATATACTCGTATAATTAATACATAATAATAATAATATAGTTTTGTTTTATATAGATGAAATGTATGTAATATAATTGAATTTCTACGTTTTTTCTTAAGTTTTTTATCACCTCTGGATATATTTTTTTTTCAAAAACTTATAAAATTTTCGTTTGTCATTTTATAAAAAATCAATCAGTGGCGGACCACCTCTTTAGGTCTGGGCCTCAGATTCTAATTTTATAATCTAATAGGCAAGAAGGTAATCAGCCTCCAGTGCCTGACACACGCTGTCGACTTTTTGGGTCTAAGATATGTCGGTTTCCTCACGATGTTTTCCTTCACCGTTCGAACGAATGTTAAATGTGCACAATGCACATAGAAAGAAAATCCATAGATGGACAGTCGCACGCTGAAGCCACTAGGCGAACTCTGCTCACTCGTCATTTTATACTATAAATTTTTTCATAATTGGAATAAAATAGTTTGGATTAACATACTCATATGCGGAAATAATATTCTACCAATGTTATGTAAAATTGACATTTTATAACAAAACTGGTTTCAGACAGGTTTATTAGTTCTAGTTTATAAGGTAATATAAATTGTGGACACCTTCCGAAGGCCATACGTCCTAGTTTATTTTGTGTTTTTGAATTTTCTATTATGTGAGCGGTTATTCATAAATATAAAAATGTCAATAGCTGTATTTTTTTTATTTACGCATAAAGCGATTAAATTATATTACATTCACTATGTAACCGTATACGGAATAGTTTTGGCTTAGTGGCATGAGCTTGCGAATGTAAAAAAAAGTGCGTGCGTAGGTACAAAGTACACATGTCAGAAGTGAAACTTTTTAGGTAAACTAATTTTTAATTTTTGTTCATATTCATACAAATTTAAAACTTTAGATTTCCGAGACTTAGGGGGAGGGGAAAAGGAAGATATGTTAGGAATTTAATGAATTTAATTGTCATTAAAATGTCAGTGAAATTTAATAGGTACAAATAATAAATTTAATTTTTTTAATTTATTTCTTCGAAATAAAAACACGTGGCATTTTAATTTACAATTCGTCATTTGAGATTTCTATAAATTATTTTGCATAAAATATAAAATAATAATATTTCATAAATTTTAATTTAAAAAATATAATTTCTATAAGGTAGGGAAGGGTGAATCTTCTCACTCTCTCTCAATCGGTCTCAATCGCTCTCTCCCTTTCGACAAGAACGCTGCACATCTTCGTGACGTCCCGTAAAAATTTTACCCTCATGCGCCGAAAGAAATTTCACTTCAAAAATCTCGGTCTTTAAATATAAACTCAGATATGTAACCTGTTTTTGCATGTAATGACTTTAAAAAATATTTTATAAATTACATCCCTTATACCGACTGAATTTCATTATCGGACGTCGAAGCTGATTGTGAAATTCCATCCGCATCACCTCGACGTCCGCCGTTCCCCCATTGAGCGTAGGTTGCGATTTTTTGCGGCTCTATGTAGAACCAGCCTGAGAAGTATTTCCAAACCAATACGACTTAGGGTCTTTTAAGAAAAGAGCGTACCAATTCTTAAAAGGCTGGCAACGCACTCTCGAGCCCCCGAGCATTGAGAGTGTCCGGCGGTATAACTTATAGGTGAGCCCCCTGCCCGTTTTCCCCCAGTTCTAAAAAAATATCTATTTCCAAAATCATAATTAATTTGTTTTTAATACTTCTTAATTCGACGTAATGTCTCTTGGCAATAATAGTGATAGGTTCGTAAATATATTTGCGTTTTTAACAGTTTTATTTTAAATGTGTATTAAAAAGTCAATCACATATTGCGGTACTAGTAATAAAGAAAATTCTATTTGTTATGAGACGAGTTCATGCTAATTTCATTGTATGATTCAAATATTATTTAAAAATAGCTTACAAAAGGTCTATTATACGCCTTTGATCCTTTTCAAAACCTATAAATTATAAGGGCTCACTGAAAATCAATTTTGCTAAGTTAAACCCATTTTTGGTTACGATAAGTGTGTGCCCTTTTTGTGCGTTGCTATCTTTACATATTATCAAATGAAAACCGTCAATACATAGTGCTTCCTCAGGAACACTTAAGCGTTTTACATAAATTGACTGATATATTGACTTATACACGATATCGCTCCGCTGGATGCTAGTTTATATATTTTATTTTAAGAATTTTTCTATAAATAATAAACTTATCCTTAATTATTATTTCAGTGCGTTGACGGTTTTCCATACTTAAACAGATGCCCATCGGGGCTGTATTTTGATGACATCAGCAAATATTGTACTTTCAAAGTTGAAGCAAGGTGTGGTCCAATTGCGACAAGTAAGTAATTTTTACGTATACTAATTATACATTATGATCAGTGTAATAATCTATATTTATAAAAATGTTATGTTGGTTTGTGTACGCTTCAAAAACTCAAAAAGTTCTGCACCGATCGAGCTGAAATTTTAGCATGATATAAAATCCGCATCAAGGATTGTTTTTATCTATTTTTTTTTATTTTTTTCCACAAGTATTGCAAAATTAAACTTATATGAAATGTATTCTTTGTCTTGTTTCTCATTTCTCAACCATTCAATCACAATTACCACAGCGACGCTACACTACAGCTAGTTATTTATAAAGATCCCTTTTTTTGTTATAAAAAAAACACGTAAGTCTAACTATGTATTTTTTAAACAATTCTACTTTAATCATCTCAAATTCAAAGTCAAAGTCAAATCATATATTTCAATTAGACCACCTAAAATGGCACTTTTGAACGTCAAACAAAATAAAAAGAAGATTCTAGTTGCCCCTTCGAAAAGGTAGTTTCGTATGGAGAAGAATGGGCAAGAAACTCCACACTTACTCTTTTAAAATAGGTTTACAATATTTTGTTTACATTAGTTAAATAATTATATGTGACATATCAAATGAAAGAATAAACGAAATAGTTCAAGTACGTAAACGCTCATAATACAACTCAGTTCATGTAGATGCCTTCTATAATATGGAATAGGGAATGAATCAAATGCATGATGCTTGTTCCGGTGTAAGCAAGGAACTGCCGAGATGGCACGAATACCAAACACAGCGCCTCGCTTTGTTTAACTATTCGTACCTACAACATCAAACATTCGTATACCGTACGCTCTTGAATTATATATGTGTACTTTCCGAGTCATTCGTCGGTATTTACAAATGGTGCCTATTAAAGTGTCAATATTGGAGGCGATTGAGCACTTCAATTTTTAATGTAATTTTAAAAAGTACAGGTACGGGTCGACATGAGTTTTACGTGAACAGAACGTTTTGATATTTATATAGATTTAGTAGTTTGTCAAGTAGGTAATATTGGTTTAAAATTGCTACATTAAGGCAATTTTACAACTGAATAAATTAATGTTAATTTGAAAAAATGTAATTTCCCTCGACCTCCAGCTGAGTGTTTAAGGTACTTTTCGGTGCATGGGAACCAGCTAACCGTTGAGGATTTTCTGGACCTATTCGATTTAGGGTACTGTAAGAAAAGAGCGTACCACTTCTTCAAAAGACCGCCTCCTGGAACCTCGCAAACCTTCTGGCATTATTAGTGTCAGCCGGCGGTATCAATAAACATCAGATGAGCTTTCTACCCGTTTGCTCTTTAATATAAAAACTGAACATCTTACATACATTTCCTTATTCGCTTGTATAGGTGATGTATATCACTCACTTTTGACTATATATGTGATATTTCTAGCCCCAGCACCCATAACAGAAGCCCCAACTGATCTTGCGACTCGCTGCGAGCCGGCTGACTGTCAGCTACCTTATTGCTTCTGCTCAAAAGACGGTACACTCATACCTGGTGGACTGGAGCCTGAGGATGTAAGTTTAAAATAATAACCTTTTTTATTTCCAAATCATAATATTCGTGCTAGCGTGAAAGAGATAGACAGAAAGCGATCTCTCCCTTTTATTTATTGCAACGAAATGAAAATAAATAAATAAACATTAAGTATTATTTACTGTATAACACTTTCAACACTAATGAACGGAATGAATGAGATTTATAATCAAGGGCGAAGACGGAAAGAATTGACAAGAAAAATACATTCTCTTTATTGCCAAGTATTAACAAAGAAGCTTAAAGCTGTGACCATTACTTGCTCTACATGTTAGTGAATGGATACAATGACTAAGCATATTTATATAATAACTTTCAATTCACCAACCACGATTTATTTGTGAACTTAGTACTAATAATGTTAATCAAAATATTCATTTTTAATTTGGTCCCGGTATAATCAAATCAAAATTAATATTTTACGTCAATTTTTAAAAACTACTTCATAATACGACCGGCCGGTCTTATATTTATATAGAAATACTAGCTGATCCGGCAAACATAGTTTTGCCATGTTTATCATTTATAATAAAAAATAGGGGTTGATCGTAGAGGGGTGAAAATTAGGGGTTGTATGTATTTTTTAATGCTGTATCATAAAAAACATATCTAAAAATTAAAAAAAAAATTAGGGGTGGACTACCCTTAACATTTAGGGGGATGAAAAATAGATGTTGTCCGATTCTCAGTTATATCCAATATGCACACAAAATTTCATGAGAATCGATCAAGCCGTTTCGGAGGAGTTTAACCACAAACACCCCGAACACGAGAATTTTATATATTAGATTAAAAAAATCTTTTTAATAGTGAAAGGTTTGTAATAACATGTGACTACCCGCTCTCCTTAATTAATCTTGTCGGTACTGGCGATGCACTGAAATATCCGTGCACTCCATTTAATAATTACACAGACTCTTTGACATTCTCGTTGCGCCTGTAAACATAGATAACTAATAATAATATCGTGTGCATAAACAAAACACTATAACTTTGGATGATTATTTTGTATTATAAATTTAATATATGGTACATATATATTTGAAAGTAGTAAAGAATTCATAGGAAGCCATTGTGTGTAGAACAATTTTTTAAAATAAATTTTCTATAAAACTAAATAATTTGTAATGTTTCATAAGATCACTAGTGGACCCCACAGACGTTGTCCTGCATGATATTTCAACCGATTAAGATATTAAACAAAGTATGAAAGTACCGACTGCAGCGCCATCTGTCGGGCTGATTTGTGAATCTAAATTTTCCCCTAAAACTAATAATTTGTAAGTCGTTTTAAGAGGAGTTCGTCACATACACACGCACAGAAGAAATATATATATTAAGATGTGTTAAAGCTAATATTTGTGTTATATGCTATTGAATGTTGTTTACGATTCGTACCAATTACGACTCGTTTGTATACGGTACATTCGACCTGATATAGGAAAATAAAGAAACACTTTATATACACAATGAAAGGAAAAGGATTCCCAAACTAAGATTCCCTGTGTCGTGGGCAGCTAGTCTGTTCCTTTTGCCATGTTAACTGTACTTGACAATAATTTCTAAATAATTAAACTATTGTTGCACAATAGGAATATAAAAATATCTATAAACCCCAAGAAATTATATTATTATCACACTTGTTGCTAAATACGTTCCTAACATTTAAAAAATCTACAAAAGTCTTGTAAAAATGCAGACAGTTAGTTATACAATTGTACACATTTGCGGTTATGAAGCAACGTTACATAATAAAAATTTCCTTTACTTTCTATTGTTTGCCGAGTTATCGTTTTCAAGGGCAAATGTCTTATGATTATTATAAAAAGCGCTTAGTTGGTAAGGTATAGGGGCTTATAGGAGGATAATTTTTTTCAATCAATATTTTTAATCAGGGTAGTATTATATATGTATCACTATAACTTTCTTTTTTACTAAAGATGTACTGATACTTTAGTGTATTAATTGATTAAAAACAACCTAACGTTTGCATATTCTATGGGCTTCATACTTTCGATTGGTATAGAATTTATCTAATAATCATACCGGTGAAATGTTTAAAAAAATTTTTTTTTTTAATATTAATTAAAATACTCTGGACTGAAATTTGCTAGGCAACCCATATATATGGATTATATTTATTGACATATTAAATTAAATATAAAATACGTTTCATTAAATAAGCATCTCGGTGAAGGTCGTTGTATATCGGGATCTTAGACCAAGAAAAAATACAATTAGAACAAATGCAGTCATGTCAGCAGTGCATGCAAAGCTTACATGCATTTAAAAGCCCGGCAACGCACTCGCAAACCATCACCTCGACGTCCGTCGTTTCCCAACTGAGCGTAGGTTTAAGCATTTTTTGCGGCGCCATGTGCAACCAGCTGCTCGAGAGGTTTTTCCAAACCAATACGACCTAGGGTCTCAAGAAAAGAGCGTACTAATTCTTAAAAGGCCGGCAACGCACTCGTGAGCCTTCAGGCATTGAGTATGTCAATTACATCATGTGAGCCTCCTGCCCGTATGTTCTATAAAAATATTTTTTGCATTTTCTTAAAGATATTTAGCTTATTGTAACATTTTATTTGATTTTTGTTTTTGTGTTATTTTTTAAGTTCTATGTAAAAGGCTCTATGGGACTTTATACTGTAAAACAATCTCTTAACAATTGTTCTTTTGGTACATCCTTTTTAAATATGGGTCTCAGATTTCTGTATCTATTTCATGATGATTTAACAAACTAATAGGCAAGTAGGTGATCAGCTTCTTGTGCCTGACACACGACGTCGACGTTTTGGGTTTAAGGCAAGCTGGTTTCCTCGCAATGTTTTCCTTCACCGTCCGAGAGAATGTATAGATAGAAAGAAAGTCCATTAGTGCACAGCTGTGGATCGAACCTACTACCTCAGGGATCGCTGAAGCCACTAGCCCAACACTGCTCTGTTACCGTTATCATTACCATTATTTTTATTAGGAAATAACATCGTTACCATAGCATGTATGGAGCTGCAACCATTACACCATGTTCCACATGACATCTTTAAGTAATTAATAGTTAAATATAGGTACATGAACCCTATTTAAAAAGCGTATACTTATAGACCAATTAAGTATATTAACATTTTTAATTGCAGACACCACAGATGATTATGCTAACATTTGACGGCGCGGTCAATTTGAATAATTTCGACCTATACAAGAAAGTTTTCAACGGAAAGTTGCGCAATCCCAACGGATGCCCGATTCGGGGCACTTTCTTCTTATCTCACGAATACAGGTTAGTTACTGTATAGTTATTTAGTTTGCATAATGTATATACATTCGATAACAATATATTTTGTTAATGTTTAAGGAAATTTTTCTGTAATAGATGACGGTTCTGTCGATGTTTTCAGTCGGGAATCGAATGCACTAGCGTTGAGTTTTGCTATAGATAATATTTTTATAAATAAATAAATTAAAAGTTCAAGCCCAAAACTAATATAGGAACTTCAAAAAATAATATTTCTTTTTCAACAACAAAAATAAGTCCGCACCACACTCAGTAAAGGAACCTTACTTTGTCCTGCATAATTGTAATGATATCGTAAATAATATAATAACAAACATATTTACCAAAAGATACACAACGCTTCCCTCTCCAAAAATAGCTTTTAACATATTGTCTAAAAGTAAGATCCTTTGTGAATGTAATCGAATAAGACATAAGAGATGTTAAATTGGTTTATCTAAAGCCGATTAGGCCTCCTTGACACCATTTGCGGTGCGATCTTAAAAGCTCCTGTTTTATGTACATACACTTTGTATCATTGTTTCAAATAAATTGCTTGGGTTACTTTAGCCATTAGGTTATTATTTGAAAGCAGTGTTGGCCTAGTGGCTTCAGCGTGCGATTCTCGTCCCAGAGGTCAAAGGTTTGATGCCTGTGCAATGTGCATCAATTAACTTTCCGTCTATGTATCTGTCACTCGCTACATAAAGGAAAACATCGTAAGGAACTCGGCATGTCTCAAATCCAGAAGTCGACGATGTGTGTCTATCGCCTATGTCTATGAAATAAAAATGATAAAAAACGATTATTTTTATCTTATACTCTCTCCCTTGTACCGCTCTATACTTTCTACGTTCAATTCCCGTTCATGAATTTTATAACAATGAAATGTTCTTTCAATGTGAGAAATAGACACTTGGTGGTACAGTTAAGGTAAACATCGTGAGATATCGAATATGTCGGGATCAAAAAACTGTCTGTCGTATCCTAACTACGACTAAATATATTCACATAGCAATCGACATGTAGCATTCTTGCTAAATTTTCCTTTCTTTGTAATCCTAGAGTTACTGGAACTAAAAGGCTTCTATACGTACCTATGGCTGGTTTATCCGCTACTTTTATTGTTCTAGTGCAGGGCTATCTCGTTCTTACAATATAAATTATTAAAAATATTGATATATTTTACAATCTTCCAACTTACCGTAATTTTGTGTCTCACGCTCTTTTACTCTCTTTCGGTTTAAGTTTTCTTTTTTTGCTGTTTGGTATTAATTTTTTTCCTTGCGTAAAATTTTTATGTTCTAATATAATTGATGTGTGTGTAAAATTTGTGAAATCATATTCTTGTATATTTTGAGTAAACATGTTGTTTAATAAAATAAATTTGACTTTTATCAAGTTCATTGTAATAATTCCTAATTTCTTGCAAAAGTTCAAAATATCATTGTATCACATTCTCGATATAAATCAGCCAATTTTAGTAAATCAGCCGTACTTACATTGCTGGATAAACGACTCGAACTAAATTGGGATTTATTGCGTCTGCAGAGTGAAAATATACTGTTTACGATACAATTCACATTCAAAGTTGTACAATGTTAAAGCCCTATATTTTACCACAAATCTCTTACAAGTCTGATTAGTCTTTTGTCTATGTTTTCATTTGTTTCAGTAACTACGCTATGGTACAGAAACTAGCGCACGATGGACACGAAGTAAGTTTTTTTAATGTTCTGGTTCTGTTGTGTTTTATATTTGTAATTATCACGAGTGAATGTGTAAAAGAATTATTTCCTACATGGGTTTAATTCTGCCTTTTTGACGTAGCGATGTTTTGTATTGTTAGTTGCTTGCATGAAAAGTAATAAATTGCAGCCATAACGAATGTATGAATGTTCCATTAATAATTAAATAATAATAAATCGTTTATTTGCAAAGAAAGTGGTACATTCAGATTGATTAATTATAATCAAAACACCACACAATCAGCCATATAAAAATTGGCATGCAAATGTCATATTGATTATCATCATTGTCACATCATGATAATCAGAACAGTTAATAATATTTTTTGTCAAATACATGGTCACTTATGGTCTAAATACGCTGCCACGCTGTAAAGGCACCTAATCTTTAAAAATGTATCACCTTTCTTTATATTATTATTTTTTAATTTTAAAATAAAAATAATTTTGTCTCTGCATAAAGACTTACTTTAACATAACGATTTAGCCTTACTTAAGACTAATAAGTTATTTAAAACTAGCTTAATGTACTAAAAAAGGATATTTACCATAAGAAAGTGTCCAACAACACTACTTATAGTTTTTATTAAGGGAAAGACACCTTCGCACTATTTTCTTCCACTGTTTAAGACTAACGTGTACTCACGCTAATTCTCTAATTCGAATAGATTTGTCCTTTGCAATCTTCACTCTAGGCCCATGGTGTCATACATTATAAATTACAAAAACTGAAACGTTGCGATTGCGCATCATCATTGCAATCTCACAGTCATACTAACGAATACTCGATTTTACAATCTTTTTAATTAAAATTAGCTCAAATAACTTCACTTTATTCAATTTAAAATTTTCCCATTGATATATAAATATTATCTTAATTAAGTCTTAAAAAACAGCGCATTTATAGCGAAAAGGGAAATAATATGAAGTCAAGACATTCACGTACGTATTTACGTCAAAAAAAATTAAATACTGAATATTTGATTGTTGTTACTAATAAATGTGACAATACATATAGAGTCCCTGCAACTCCCTCACTCTTCAATGTGTCATGACTTACATCGAAATGAAATATAACAACCCATCAATTTTTTTTAGATGGCTACAGGCACGATATCACAGCAGCAAGGCCTACAAGACAAGGGCTACGAAGAATGGGCGGGTGAAATGATCGGTATGCGGGAAATAATGCGCAAGTTTTCAAATATATCAAGGTCAGAGGTGGTCGGCGCGAGGGCACCGTTTCTCAAGCCAGGACGGAATACGCAGTTCAAGGTAATGTAATTGTTATTAGTTAAGTTTTATTTGTTGAGATTTTTATATCTTAAACGAATCTACGCAGACCAGTGTGGGCCTAGTGGTTTCTACGTGCGAGTCTCATCCCTGAACCTACGAGTTCAATCTCCGGCTGTGCACTGATGGACTTTCTATGTGCCCATTAAAAACTAGCTTGTACGGTGAAGGAAAACATCGGAAACCGGCCCGTCCTATACCCAAACAGTGACAGTGTGTGTCAGGTACAGAGGGTTGATCACCTTGCTACTTGCCTATTAGAAATTATCACAGAACATATACATAAATCTGAGGCCCAGACTGAAAAGGTTGTCGCGCAGTATAAAGCCCTAATCTATGTAAGTAGGTGCATTCCCTTTTAGGGAGTATTCTTTTTTTTCAAATAGTTGGAGGTCAAGAGAAGACCTCTACTGTAAGCCAATGTTTGTGCTTTATTAGAAACACTGCTTGCGGCACTACAGCACTTTTCTTCACTACATAGAATAAAACAAAGTCGCTTTCTCTGTCCCTATATCCCTATGTATGCTTAAATCTTTAAAACTACGCAACGGATTTTGATGCGGTTTTTTTAGTAGATAGAGTGATTGAATAGGAAGGTTTATATGCATAATAACATCAATTAAATAGTGGAGAAATACTGTTATTTTTAAGTTTTCTAATGTGATGTCGTAAATAATTAAATTTTTCCCGCTTACATTGCAAATACAGACTGAACCCTACGAGATTTATCAAAATAATGTACTAAGTATTGTACACATTAAAAAGGTCTACAGAAAACTCCACGATGGTATATGTCTATCTCTTATGGATATTCCACAATATTTTTTTTTGTAATTTACTTTTTACGACAAATAATGGCTAATTTTCTATGTGATTTTAACCAATATGTACAACATTAATCCTTATCCAATTAAATACCATGCGAAGCCGTGGCGGGTTGCTAGGGTTAATATAAAATATAAAGTAAAATGTCCATTTAAACATTTCAATAAAAGTCTTCTATAAAGTTATTAACAATTTCAAAAATACAGCAATTCGAAACAAACGCAATTTTTCAATTCGTACCTAAATAAATACGTTCAAAGGACATAAAATAAGCTTTTTAATAATAGTATTAACGGTACGAAATGATATAAATATTTCATAGGATCAGCGGTCGTAAATACAAATTTTGTAATTTTCACATTATTTATCGTTCGAGGAGCTCGATCTCGTTTATTCTTCGGATTTATTTAAAAATTTACTGCTGCAATTATTTGTGTTAACTGAAGTTTAAATTAAATACTGATTTTCGCGTAATAAATTGGACTGATTTTTAGAGTTGTATGTTGAGTATAATATTAAAATTGGTACATAATAAATAAAACTATCGAAATGGAATACCTAGAGTTGTGAATTTTACAGAGATATATATACTACTATATATATATATATATATATAAGAACATAATACAAACAGTAGTGCTACAACCATTCTGGGTCTCAGATTTCTGTATCTGTTTCGGGATCAATTTTTTTTAATAAGCAAGATAATCAGCCTTCTGTGCCTGACACACGCCTCACATTTTCGGGTCTTTGGCATACGGTTTCCTCTCGATGTTTTCATTCACCCAGTCTTGTTTCTGAATTTAGTTAAAAAATTAAAACTAAATTTAAAAAAAAATATTTTTGCAGGTCTTAGAAGATTTCGGCTACATATATGACAGTTCGGTAGGAGTTCCACCACTGGCGATACCAGTATGGCCGTACACGCTCGACTATAAAATTGCTCATGAGTGCAAGGCTGGTACATGCCCCACTAAGTCCTTCCCTGGTAAGTAATTAAACAACATATTACAAAACGTAACTTATTCTTTAACTTCCGATATTCCAGGTTTCAAGTAGACAGATTTTGTTTTGTAAGTTTGTAACTTAAATCAAACTACTGGATGACAAGTCTGTTATCTCTACGTAATATGGGTTTCATTATTTCCAAAATAATATTACAAAATTGATGCTTGCTGAAATATCCCGCTAAATGCCGAGAGATATAAAATAAGTATAAGACAAGTATTTCATAAAAAAACTATTTTTTAAAATAAAAATATATTTTTTTTAACAATACTGGTTATATTTCACTAAGAAGATTTATTATCAATTTACGCTCGCAATTTCTTTAACCATATACCATGAAGCATCATTTATATATTGTTTACAAATTTTTATACGATATTCTAATTTTGTGTTATGACTTAAACTATTTACTAATTATTTACGAGCTATATTCTATATACGATAAAAGTTTCTGCTACATATGAAGGCGTGCAATACGCTGTAATTTAGAAAGTGCGACAGAGATGTTGGTGCAAAATTGTATGCAAAAAATCGAGGTCACGCCATTCAATACTAAGCCAATTTCATATGAATAAGTTCCGTTGAAACTTGATATTTCTAAGATGCCTTATTTTAAATGTTCATTTACTAAGCCTTTTTAGCGTAAAGTTTTGCAATTAAGCGACGAAATCCAAATTATCTGGGTCATGATGAAATAACTATTAAGTATTTCGCTATATCAACTGATATGTATGTACAACCATACAAATTATTAGCGTAATTTTTCTTATGTGGCCATACATTTCCAAAAGTTTACTACCTTTATGGCTTTAGATATCTAAAGCCGTAAAGGTAGTAAACTTTTTAAGAAAAACGTACTTGCGTACTTAAGGCTAATTCTTGGTTGTAAGTAATCATTTTGATGATCTTATGTTTTTAAAATTAGAACACGGTCACTCTGCCTTAATCAACTAGATGTCCTTTACTCTTCTTTATAAATGAACTATATACCGTCGTCCAAGTTTCATCTATTTACGACCCCGAATTAAATATAAACAAGCGGATTAAACATAAAGTTTGCTGTCGTATTACACAATGGACAACTTCTTTCTCGCAAAGATTCTTTGGTTTCCTAGGCTGTTACCTGTAGAAAAAATTAACATTTACCCACTATCTAAATATGAATGTAAAAAAATGGTTACTACTTGGCTGAAGACGTTGAGTTATGATGAAACAGAAGATTTAATAACAGCTGTTACTCTGTAACACACCCACTCCCCCACATATATACACACACCCACGCACGCACACACACACCCAGAGAGAGAGAGACACACCCACGCGCGCGCACACACACCCTCTCGTTCTCTCTCTCACACACACACACACAAACACACACCAAAATTTTTTTACGACTCCGTTTGCAATGTTTTCTTTTAGCACTTACTTATTTTCTTCTATTGTATCTTATGACAATGACCTGATTGTACGTGTTCCGGTCCGGTGGTGGAGAGGCTGGCTATCTGTCACTCAGGTCTCCTGTTACAGAGACAAGTCTCTCACATATACTTCCTAATGTTATCATCTTAGTTTAATCATAATAACCTTGTATGTATAATGTATATGTGAGAGAAGAAAATAAAGATTATTATTATTACAAAAAAAAACTATTAGGGCTCTTAAGGAAACATTCAGAGTCAAATCTTAGCGCTTAGCGTGTCTCCCACATGTCAAAATACGTACTTGCGTACTTAAGGCTAATTCTTGGTTGTAAGTTAGCCAAGACTATATGTGATTAGGATTATGGCGGTGACGTATAAAGAAATCAGAGTTGTCTAATTAATAATGCACAATCCTAGGTCTATGGGAGGTGCCATTTAATGCTCACTACGTGGCGACATACGAAGGAGGTCATTGCCCTTACTTGGATCAATGTGTTCTGCACAATCACGACTCTGATGATGTAAGTCAATTGTCATTATGTAATATAACTTTTAAATTTGCACGTAGGATACATTACATTAGATGAGTGTTGGCCTAGTGGCTTCAGCGTGCGACTCTCATACCTGAGGTCGTAGGTTCGAGCCCGGCTGTGCACCAATGGACTTTCTTTCTATGTGCGCATTTAACATTCGCTTGAACGATGAAAGAAACATCGTGAGGAAACCGACATGTCTTAGACCCAAAAAGTCGACGGCGTGTGTCAGGCACTGGAGGCTGATCACCTACTTGCCTATTAGATTTAAAAAATGATCATGAAACAGATTCAGAAATCTGAGGCCAAAACCTAAAGAGGTTGTAGCGCGACTGATTTATTTTTTGTAGGATACATTAACAAATTCTTACGAAAATTACAATGTATTTGTATTTATTTATCTCTACTTCTATTTATAAGATGGATTCATATAATAGTGAATAGATGATCAGACTCTATGCTTATACGAAACAATTTGAAGACATTAGGAAATATTAACTTATGAAATGAAATGAAATATTAATTAAGAAACGTTGAAATATATTTTATGCAATTAGTATTCGTGTAACAAATGCAATATTATTAAAATTCAGAAAGTTACTGGTCACACTCGCATCAAACACAAATCTAGTTTCATAAGCATTAATTCCGTCTATATTTAGCGCTCAAGACGAGATCGACTTGAGGTACGAACTAAATATTTCCTAATACAGGTATTGGACTGGCTTCAAGAGGACTTTAGGCGATACTACGAACAAAACCGCGCGCCTTATATGATGCCATTCCATACAAATTGGTTCCAAATTAAGGAACTTGAACGCGGTCTACACAAATTCCTTCAATGGGCGAGCGAACAGTAAGTTAATTTCGATATAAAGAAAAGTTTTTAAAATTAAATAATCCATTATAATGATTGATAAGTATATCGAATGAATTGGACAATTTCGTAAGTAAATATATACAAATTAGCCTAAAAATATATAGTTTACAATGATTTCATATTTCACACTTACACGAAAACAACATATTATTTTCTTATAATATTTCATTAGATTTAGTCATATATATATATATATATAATTCCTTTCCTTAAAGAAATTTAATCAATATAACGATTTGATTGTATTAATAGTTATAAAAAAATCTTTTGCAATTAAAACGGGCACCTAAAGCAATTTACTTGTTGAAGACTTGGTTGAAGAATCTTAGACAATGATTTGGTCAAAGCACTAAGTTATTGTTCAGATTCGCGGCATCCAAAATAGCCATGATGATCACCAACGAAGGAGATGGTACTATACTACTATAAGTAGAAGAAATAAAAATTTTATTCTAAGGTAAATTTCAGTTAATTAAATGAAATTTTGAGATTTTTTTTACATCGATGTTATACAATACAACAAAAATTAATAAAACAATTACATAGTTCACTTCACGCGGATTTATTAGTATTCTGCGGCAGACAATTAAATTTCATTTAATTATTCAACCTTAGAACGTAAATTTACGTATGTGCCCGATTTATTGCAAACGAGTTTATGTTATTTCAAATAATGTATTTTTTAATTAATCAATAATTTCTTCTATGTAACATTACTCTTTAATCCAAAAAAATCACTAAATATCTTTCCCGATTGTTAAGAATGAAATTGTTAAGTGCCAGGTACGCTAGGGGCACATCCAATCTATTACGCAATAGGCTTACTGTACCAAATACTCTGCAAATTTCGATAAAGAAAAAAATATTGCCAATGATTACTCAGTACAAAAATAATCCCCTCAACAATTCAGTGGAATAAGGGATAACTCTACTAATAGAAAGTAGCAAATTGAAGGCTTCCGAATTTTATTGAAATATCGATATTCAAGACCGACTTTACTCCATGTAATATCTGATTGGAGCAGTGTTGGCCTAGTAGTTTCACCGTGCGGGTTTCATCCCTGAGGTCGTAGGTTCTATCCCGGGCTGTGCACTGATGAACTTTCTTTCTATGCGCGCATTTAACATTCGCTCGATCGGTGCGAAAACATCGTGGGGAATACGGCTTAAGTACCTTAGACCCAAAAAGTTGACGGCGTGTGTCAGGCACAGGAAGGCTGATCACCTACTTGCCTATTAGATTGACAAATGTTTATGAAACACATATACAGAAATCTGAGACCTAAAAAGGTTATAGCGCCACTAATTTATTTTATTTTAATACATACTTGGTTTACCTTTCACTTATTCAAGTATCCAAAATAATTAATATGTCCAACGGTGAAGACTAGCTGTGCTCGACACAGGAAATGCTTCGTGCTTGCATCAACATAGTAAATTAGTCTATATAAATAACCTGTTTTAAAATATAGCATAAACCATAAAATTAAAACTAAATTAGTTTATGAGCTTTTAATTCTGTGAATCAGCGTCTTTCGTACATCTAAATTAGTTTTATATAAGCTATAATTTGCATTTATTTAAAAAAGAAACGACCAAATTCCCACTTTATTTCATTTGAAGCGACTTTCATAATTGATTTTCCGTAATTACACGCCGTAATTTCAAGTAATTAATCCGTAGGAGCGTTGACATCTGAATATCGTCTCTTTCATTTTAAATTACAAAAGAGGTTATAGTTTGGAATTTAAGTTCACAGAGCATGGTTTACTAATATTATTGAGTAAAATTATTATATTAATAATGACCGTTATCGCTTTATATAATATATATAGAATAACTAGCTGACGCGGCAAACGTTTGTAATTTGTATTGCCATGTATATTATTTCTAGGAAACATTTTTCTTAGTTCAATAAAAATTACTATCTACAATACTAAAATTAGGGGTTCATCGTAGATGGGTGCAAATTAAGGGTTGTATGTATTTTTGTATGATGTATCATATACAAATAAAAACAAAGAAATTGTCGAAAAAAGAAAAAAGAAAGTTTTGGGATGTACGCCCCTTATCACTTAAGGGTTTGAAAGATAGATAGCAGCCGATTCTCAGACTTTCTGAATATGCATAAAAAATTATAAAAATCGGTCCAGCCGTTTCGGAGGAGTATGGGAACGAACATTGTGACACGAGAATTTTATATATGTATATAGAGATGTTTGGTACATACTGTTTGGTTCCGAATAACCTTCAAGTGAAAGTTATATTTGTACAATGTACATAATGCAACAAATTATAGTTTGTAGTATATAATGTGTATTTATGAGTTTTTTTGTGAATCTTATTTTATATAAAACAATTTTCATCTTACTAATGTGTCCTTACAATGGCCTCCTGCAGTTAGTTAAAAAAATCAACTATTCACTTTCAAAAGAGCGTTTTACCGAAAATTTTTATATGTTAACGTAAAATTTCAGAGAAGACGTGTGGTTCGTAACTGTAACCCAAGCCTTAACCTGGATAACGGAGCCTCGTTCAGCGTCAACCCTGAACAATTACGAGGCCTGGAAGTGTGATAAAAAGGATCTCCCACCAGCAGCGTGCAACATTTCCAACAAGTGCGCGTTGCCTTTCAAGCACCCAGACACAAATTTCACAGACACCAGATATATGGAAACCTGTACTGAATGCCCTAATCAGTAAGTTTTACATTAGTCATTGGAAATTTGATCTAAATATATTTATTGAAGTACCACATATATAATGCATTTTCTATAGTATATGTTACAAGCTATATATTCTGTTTCATGTAATAGTAAATTTTTGCTTGACAATGCGAAGTAGGCTTAAAAGATGTTAGGGAGGTAGCCAATCGTATGGAGTCGGAGATCCTAAACCAATTAAAGTCGAATAGGTCTTTTCTTTTTGTTTGTAATTTTTCAGTTAATTGCCGGCGTGGTAATTCTTATTTGCTACGCGTCACATATATTCACGAAAATGACTTTTAAGTTGTTTTATTATTGATTAGTGTCGAACTATAATGACGATAACAAATATTTTTATAATATTAGCATATGTTAAGTGCTACTTGCATGCCCATACGTTCAATTAATATTTCCGCACTCAATAAGAGCACAACGAACTATTCGAGCCGAACATCGAACCGAATTACGTAACGTGCTGAATGTTTTTTGTACTGGTTTACATTGGCCTGCGGGCACGGATAATTCTACTGTAAAAGAACCGAGGAACTGAATTTTTGCGATTTTAAACCGGTTAAAAATTCCTTTGTCTCTGACATGCGAGATCAAACAATCCAATTTTAATTTTGCTCTTTGGTTTTTCAATTGTTTAATGGTTTACCCTGTATAAAAAAGGAATGTTACATTGTTTTGTTTTTATGTACGGGTTCGTATTTGTTCTATTTACAGTTATAAGCAATCTTTTGTTAAAATTAAAAAGAAAACAATTAGACTTAATTATTGCCGCGTGACAATGTTGTCCAAGGTATTCATAAAGTAAATCTTATTTGTTAACCTAAACTTTTCAACTCAACGATATCATAGTCCTTAGACAAGAGTCGACTAGCGCGACCCATTAACGCCAAACAAATTTGTATGGGAATGGTACATGACACGCGTTAGTCTTTTCCGCGAAAGTATTCTAATAATGTATTAAGCCGTGATGTAAATATTTATTTCCTATTTTTACTGTAACTTAATACTATTACAATAGAAAACTTATTAATATAAAAATTATAACGAATTATAAATAGCTATAATATGTAACGTACTGTACAATTTTTTTACCTTTGACGTCGAGGTATTAAACATGTTATTTCCATTACTGAGCAGTGCTGGCCTAGTGGCTTCAGCGTGCGACTATAAAACCTGAGGTCGTAGGTACGATCCCTGGCTGTCCACTAATGTACTTTATTTCTATGAGCGCATTTAACATTCGCTCGAACGTTGAAGGAAAACATCGTGAGGAAACATCGACGAAAAAACGTCGACGGCTAGTCAGGCACAGGATGCAGGTAGGCTGATCACCTACTTGCCTATTAGATTGACAATTGATCATGAAACCGATACAAAAATCTGAGGCTCAGACCTAAAAAGTTTGTAGCGCTACTGATTTATTTATTACCACTACTGCTAGAGCTTTAGGTTAGGTTAGGTTATAGTGCGTAAAACATAATCAAACATATAATTTTAGATTAATTGTTTAATTTATTCTGAAATATGAATTATTGATTCAAATATCATAAATATTGAGTTTTCGTTAACCACGAGGTAGATAAAGGTACATGGCGCGGTGGTGGTGTACTTTTTAGTGTTTCTAAATAATTTTTCAATATTATTTTCAAATATCTTCATGTTTCGTAGCAATCACGTAGCAAATTTTGTGTAACCGTACCGAATCGCTTCTATTATTTTTACAAACCCGAACCCTTTCCAGGCCATTTATATTAAGAGTGCTTTCAGATACCCGTGGCTCGGCGACTCGGGCGGAACAGGCATACCCGGGAAGGACAATTACATACCCGATAATCTTAAGTGAAACTTTGTCGACAGTTTGTTTATGGCCATTTTTTCTCTTCCAGTTTTTTAGGGTCACATCTCAGTTCTATACATTAAAAATATTTTATTTATATACACGATAATACATTTTAAAATGGCGTGTATTTTACAGTTTGAAAAGTAATAGAGATACTTTCAATATGTGTATTTTGACACTCTGTCTAGGCTTTGATGCGTCCTATGGCACACATAAAGGTACTGACATTAAACATTGTATCCTGTTGTCTACAACTTTCTCTATTCATTTTTAATATCATTAATGTAATGTGTATATAGCCTAGTTGTAGCAGTGACTAGTCATTGCATTATTTGACAAGCGTTTGTTGATGTTTTTTGATAGATATTGAATGCGTAAATTGAATACATTCTAGCCATATATGTAAGAAATTTAGAAATAATTTTATACTTTTTGGTGCTTGTTTTGGTGCTATGTAATTTGTTACGTGAACTGAAATACAGTCCAGTAATAAAGTAATTACAAACAGTGTTTTTTATTTTAATTTATAAAATTATATTATAAACTGATAAATCTCAAGTGATGCGTGAGAGCTAGCTGGTTTTCAGCTCGAAAAGCACGGCTTGCGGTGTGGTCGTTCTCACAGCCTGAGCTGAACTGTAAAGGCCGTTAAGGCCAACCGCGAGATTCCATTGGTAAAATGGTCGCTCTCACTTCTTCGTGCCTCGCACCAGATATAGACGTTACTTATAATTATTATTCTTCTTTTCGTTATTTTTATTTATTTATTTACACTTCGTTACATTTATACAAAAACAAATAACATAATACATAAAAATTATAAGGGATGAAACGAATTGCCTAAGAAGGATGACCTGTGAGATGGAGTTTCCAATAAGCATCTATTGGAGGAGCGTAACACATAGTTATAAGGACCTGAGAATTTGAAATGATTTTTAAGATAAGAGTTTTGGGATTGAAAAGAATTGAGTATAGAAGTTGAAGAAGATGAGCGTCACGTCTGAGTCGAATAGGTACCCACCCGAGTTGCCTGCGGAATTTTGTGTGTAATTTAAATTTAGTTTTATTTTGTAAAATTGTTTGTTAATTGCTAACTATATATTAATTTGGCTTTTAATATGTTTAAACCGAGGACAAAATTTAGGATATCTGTTTGTATTTGAACTGGATATTTCTGATCAATTTAGGCCTCCGACCACACATGAATTTCGTAAGTGTATGTTTACTGCGCACATAGAAATAGGGGTAGCAGTGTTTCGAACGATCGACCGCTGGGTTGAGACGCACACGGCCATTAGACTGCTCGCCCCTTCATATATTGTTAGTTATTTCGATCTTTGTGTTAATTTATATATTTATTATACTTTGTACCTTTTTAATTTATAATTTGCCGATTGGTCATCTAACGAAAGTACAAACACAATCTGAAATTAAATCCCCATTATAGCTTTTGCATTATTTCAATAATATACCTCGTACTATTTATTTTTCATGTAGAACCATCAAACTAACCACCTCTAGTGGCCAGTTATTATTTCGTTTATCGAACCCGAGACCCCTAGCTCAACTCACACAAAGTGGACACTGATCTACATGAGACTACAATATTACTTACAAACATATACAAGAATCTTAATTAATTATGATGTGAGTTTCCGAGATACGGCTTATGCTCTTAGCACTAGAGCCCACAGAATCTGTTCTGAGACGCTAAAAGCTTTCCAATAATGCTTGTAATACCCTCCATCTATCCAAAGGAGCTGTGGCTCAATTGAAGACAGCTTAAACTATTATGGTTGAATATTCGATTCCAGTCGAGCGTGTTTTTTTATTTTCTATAAATTGGCTCTGCACAAAGACATCGTTTAACATTACGATCTCGATCTTAAGACTAATAAGTAACTTGAAACTGATCTAATTTACTTAAAAGGATATTTAACATAAGAAAGTGTCCAATAACACTACTTGGACTAGCACAGAATCGAAGCGCATCGAAGCGTCAAATTCTTCACAACTTCGCAAATCCGCGCGCATTCGTGCGGCTTCGCTTTAGAATACGCGTGCACTACGTGTAGTTATAGGCATGAACAGTAGTGCTATTGAATCACTTGCCAGTTAATTGTTGGCTTTCGGATGAAATAGGCATTCATATTTTTGCTCTTTTATTCATCGTGATCGCGCACCAATCAGCGTTGGAGGAAATCCGAGGAATGCGCGCGTCTTTGTATTTATTATGTTCAGTTTTGTAATGACGCTTCGACGCGCTTCGACTCTGCGCTAGTAGATATTTGCACTCTGTTCTTGTGTACAATTTTTTCATCTTACCATTGTTTAGAACTTAAGACTACTGAGCACTAATTCGAATGGTTTTTTCCTTTTCACTCTTCTCAGTAGTCCCGTGGTGTCAAGAAGTTGAATAGCCTCGACATTAACGTGTTAGTGGGGCCTTTGTTCGTTGGCTTCAGCAACCTTTTTGATTGTGGTGACGTCCTCTACATAATGAATGAGAGTGTGAATATAATTTTATTTACAATTAAACTTATAAATATAAAGGAGGCATTGCCTAAATTGCTGCTGCCTGGTTAAATGAAATTTCCTATGTGCTACACTTGCAGAATGGTCAGGCATAAGATCCCGATGAAATCGAAAACTACTACGCGTGTCTGAGAAAACTCATTCAGATCACATCAGATCAGTATCACTGTTACTGAGCTGTGTTGGCCTCGTGGCTTTAGCGTGCGACTCTCATTTCTGAGGTCGAAGGTTCGATCACCGACTGTGCACCAATGGACTTTCTTTCTAAGCGAATTTAACATTCGCTCGACTGGTAAACGTTGTGTGGAAACCGGCTTGCCTTAGACCCAACAAGTCGACGGTGTATGACAGGCACAGGAGGCTGATCACCTACTTTTTTTTAAAACAGGGAGCTAACGGGCAGGAAGCTCACCTGATGTTAAGTGATACTGCCGCCTATGGACACTCTCAATGCTGAGGGCCCGCGAGTGCGTTGCGGTCCTTTTAAGAATTTGTACGCTTTTTCTTGAAGGACCCTTAGTCGAATTGGTTCGGAAATACTTCAGTGGGCAGCTGGCTTGCCTATTAGATTGACAAATGATCATGAAACATATACAGAAATCTCAGGCCCAGATCTAAAAAAGGTTGTAGCGTCACTGATTTTTTTTATTGCTATTAGAAATTACAGAGTACGGACGCTGATTACTGACTAAAGATCAACAAAACGTGGTCCTTCATATCGACCTTTACATATTTAGTTAGTAAATTTTTGGGTACCTTCAATGTTTGATTTAAATAACAGACTAATTTCGGCGTAGTGGCGACCGTTCTAACAAAGGATTATTACATTTCTCAAGTAAACGGTCACAAGCGTCCCTAAATAAATATCAACACAGGTAGGTTGTGGTATGTTCTTAATAAGGTCCAGAGATATTTTCAGGATAACGGCGCCCTCGAGCTTCATAAAATATAATAAGACTATTACGACCGTGATGAAAGCGATGTAAACATACCTATGTTGTATGCTAATCTTATTAAAACCCTTATTACTTTCTGGTTGATGTGATTTTGTATATTCGCGTAATAAAAAGACCTTTTTTCCATAGCCCTATAGATAAAAAACTGACTTTATAATGCATTAAAAGTATTAAATAATAATATTTATTTTTTGTTTTGACTGCATCAAGACGGTCTTGTGTAAAAAGATTTTTTTTCTGGGCGTATTTGCAATCAGCCCTAAGTCTATGAGCGAATGTGTTCTGTGGTGCTGTCATGTGGAGTGGATTCCCATTGGAAGCATCTACTCATCTTCTGCCTACTGCCTGTCTTCTAGCTCTAGAATATGGTGACGTTTCGTCTTGCATACTGTTACGACAGTAGTACTACATACTATGGTGAGTTAGCGAGCCAGTTCGTTCGGGTGACAGATTAACCGCCCTGAGAATTAAATTTACTGTAATTAAAGTAATTATAAACGGGGTATGAAGATCCTAGTAGGGTTTTGGAAGTGCCAAGTATAAGTATAGTCAACTCGATTTCGTGAGGCAATCTTCGGCTTCCGAATGGTCATCAAGCTAGTATTTTTACGTAAAAAGGTTGTAGTCATTACAATACACATTGATTTATGGCAACGACTTCCAAAAATTTACCTAATATGTAATTCGTATATATTTGTAAATAAAAAAAAAAAACACTTTCAATTGATTCCTTAAGTATTTTGTAGTCCATTAAAAAATCAAGTAAATGTACAGGAACTGGTTTTGTAAGCTCACGTAATACTGATTGATTGATTTATATATTGGAACAAAAGGATTTATAGAATTCTTAAGATTGTATTGCCGCTTCTTTAACCGCATTTGTCGAAAAAATATTATGTTAGGTAAAACTGCTTGGTTAAGTCTGCATTGAAACAGACGTCTAACGAATTACATTGTCAAAGAGAGTTATTTAGTTTTAATTAAGTCACGCTCCTCTGAAGCGTAACTATATGCGAAGTTCATAGATAAGTATAATTTCCGAGAGGGTTCGCAAACATTCGTGAATGTATTCAGTAAAGTTTCAAAGTTGAAACCTTAGATATAACTCTTTAGTTAGTTCCTTTGAAGCATATTTGACGACCAACTTACAATTGCTCGGATTAATAATGTTCTATCATTGAACGCCAAATTGGGATACAAGTCTTCAATATCACACAAACATTGATAGTCAAGGATGATCTTCATTTGTTTTTTGATAATTTAAAGATAAAACATAATTTTAATGGTTCAAAAATTAAAGCAAAACACACTGAACTACTAAGTTAATAACTTTACACGAACTGTTTTTTTCGTATATCTATGGACTTTATTTAGATGTATTTACGCACATCGATGTGCGTAAATAATTACAAAAACAACTACTTTATATTAAAAATTATTCTGCGGTGGTCTTTTTTTTAATTAGGGGGGGGGCAGGGGGGGGGAGGCGAACGGGCGGGAGCACGTTTGCCC